CCACACAGCCAGCGAGCGGCAGAGATAACAGGATGGCTCAGACTTGACAGCTATTTTCAACTGGGAAGCCAGCTTTAGAAATTCTTCCAAGAAGAGGAAATAGGAGTACAAGATGAGCTCTCAAAAAGATGTGACCCAAATAAAGAAAGGATAGAGGTGCATCCAGGCAGAATATTTTTTTTAAAAAAATATTGAAAATATATACAACCAATATAGTTATGTATTTGCAGAAGTGCACGTAAATATGGTTGGCTATAATCTGGGGATTGAGAAAGACGTCAGTGTAAGAGGTTGCTGGGGAGCTAGGAAAGAAGCTACCATGGAGGTTTTTCATGTTTTAGAAAAGAGCTCGGAATGTATATTGTGACCATGGAAGAAAATGAAGCGCTAGGAGATCCTAAGCACTCGGTAAAAATTTACAAGGTCATCTTTAGAATAATATAAAACAACGATTTCCCCAGAAAAAGATTACATCTTCTTGGCCTGACATGTATTTGCTCCTTCTTGGTTCCCCAGGCAGATGAAGTCCTCCAGAACTTCCTGCAGTCGCAGGCGGCTATAGAGAAATCCATCCTGCAGTCAGACAAAGCCCTCACAGACGGAGAGAAGGACTTAGCAGGTACAGAGGCAGGGCAGGTCCCAGCCGGATGGGTAGGTTCCTGCAGTGCCCTCTGAGTGATCTGACAGAAAGAACCTTCCTGCAACAAGGAGCTCCCTTTAATCTGTAAATAACAAGGGACTCGGGGTTATGTGTCAGCCAGACAATCAGGTGGATGCTTTTCCATCACATTCTGAAATTCCTTTTGCTGGTGTAGGTGGTGGGAAAATTCAGAGATTCCCTATTCCCCTACCTCCCAGCATTTTTAAAACTTGGTTTGGTCTGAGCTCAGGAGGGCAGGACTCAGGCCTGACTTGTTTTCCTCCCTCTCTAAAACCTTTGTGGAACAGCCGAGCGGGCCAAGAAGGAGGCAGCTGAGAAGGAGCAGGAGCTGCTCAGAGAGAAACAGAAGGAGCAGCAGCAAATGATGGAGGCTCTAGAGAGAAGCTACCAGGAAAATCTTGCCCAACTGAAGGAAAAGATGGAGCAGGAAAGTGAAAACCTTCTGAGAGAGCAGGAAAGGATGCTGGAGCACAAGCTGAAGGTGAGTCTGGACGGGGCTGGGTGGTGCCTGATGGACAGTGCCCTGGTTCCTTGGGAAGAAAAGCACCAAAATTTTATACAAAGTCATCATTCTAGAAGGAAATCCAAATGATGTATGAGTCACTTAAATCTCATATATACCTGGTACTGATGCCCTGAAATCCACAAGACTACAGCCCCTTCTGAAGCATTAGGGTTTGTACTGTACCAATAGCACTTCACAGTGTGCTGGGCTGCTGTTTTTGGTGATCATAGGTTAGTTTTGTCAGACTCTTACTCACTAGTCCTTAGGATTCTGGTACAACCATCAAAGGCACTTATAATATATCTATCCAGTTTTTAAATTATCAGACTGGGCCTGATATGAAATACAGAGCTGAAANAAACTTACGTTCTATTCCCGAGGGCATCCTTACAGCTGAAGCACAGGATAGCTCTCAGGCTCGATCTGCCTCTGACTCCTCCCCATCTTGAGTGAGACGGTGCTGAGGGAATTTTAGGAAGATACTAACTATGCATGCTCTTGGAACGAGGTCTAAACACATGGAGCTATTTGACAAGTTAATCAAAGAGCATTCAGAGGTGGTAGAGAAATAGATGTGTTTAGCTACTGAAGCTGTTAAATATAAAACCCTAATTCCTAGTAATTGGGGATTTCAGTAGTTGACTGTTTCCTCTTACAGGTCCAAGAAGAACTGCTTATAGAAGGATTTAAAGAGAAATCTGAAGGATTACATAGACAAGTAGATCACTTGCGAAAAGAAATTGAAAGAACTAAAAAAAATTGGGTTTCAACGTTCTTTGTTGCTGGCGATGCCTGCATGATAATACTGCCTTTGCCTGGTAAACTAGTTGGTGCAGGGCTGAAAGTTTTGAGCAAGCTCACACAATGAATAGACTTAGAATTCCTGTTAAGGAAATTATAAAATATAGCTTCGCTTGTTTTAGTAACATAATGCTGTTGTTCGTTTTTTAAGTACGTGTTTTATCCTAGTTTCATTCAAGAAAAGTTTAAAAATAAGAAGTACTTAACAAAAAATATCAGTGCCTGATACAACAGACAAACTTAATTTGATTAAATTAATTAATTTAAAGAAATGGGAAGCAAGAGATTAAGAAATGATGAAATTATTCACAGAAAAAATATAAGCAAAGAGAAAAGAAAAATGTCCAGATGAAGAGATTTGTAATTTCTATTACAGACAAGAAAATGATTTTTTTAAGTTATAAGGAGCCCTCATCAATCAGTGAGAAAAAACAACAAACCCATGTTTTTAATGAGCAACAATCATTGTAAAGTGTGCCTGTGTTGGGTACTGGTTACATAAATCATGGGCTATACTTACAAAGGAAAACTCTACAGTCACTAAAATGAAAGGGTATGCTGTATTTATACTAACATGAGAAAATATTCCAGATTTATCATCAATGAAAAAAAGGTACAGTTACTACCACAGAATTTAGAAAATAACGAATATATATATTTAGATAATTATTTTCTAACTCAGGAAGCATACACGATAAACAAATAACCATGGTTTTTACAACTGGGATGAACATGGGTAGTTAAGGGGAGATGTAGGAGGATAACTAATTCTACATCATATATTCTCTTCTGTGTCCTTTAAGTTTTGTATGAAATGTACTTATTACACATGCAAAAATAAATACAATTATTCAAATTAAAAATGAAGTAATTGATGTGGTGTGAAAGTTCTTGGATGAGAAGCAAACGGATAATGCTATGAGAAATGGCATAAATCAGCTCAACAGGAAGGGTGTGAGCACTACAGCAGGAAACTGGAAAGCACGAGATAGACACGCATCCAGATCTTGTTTTCATTGTGGCCCTTCAATAAGGCCTTAACATTCTGCTCCCTATTTCTTTTCAGTATAAAGTCCCCTGGGATGCTGGCTGGCATGGCCTTGAAAATTGAGTCTTACATTTATAAAAGTGATGAATTAAAAGGAACAATTTTATTCAGGGTCATCTCAACTTTTCTGGAAGTTTTGTTCCAGCTGACTATTGCTTAAGACTCCACGGTGGCTAAAATGAACTCTTTCTAATTCTGTGAGCTGGAGATAGTCTCCTGATTCTGGGCCTTTGCACACAGTCCACAGTCTTCTTTAAACACCCCTGGCCTCCTCCACCTATGTCCTTTATTTGCCAGTCTCTGCTCCTCCTAAGGGCTCCTTATTTTCTGACTTCGTGAGACTGGATGAGGTGGCCTGCTCTGTGTTACCATTGTGCCATGTTGTCACTCCTTCCATGGATAGTTCTTTTTGTATTGTGACAATTTAAATGACTTGTTTATAGCTGTGTCCCCTCCACCTCTTTTTAAAAAATATTTCATTCTGCTGTACATTAATTAAAACACGTAAGTGTACTTATGTTTGTCCAATTTTTTATAAAGGGCCAATGCCTTTCTTGATTAGATACTCTTCTATGTTTTTCTCATTGCATGAGCTACACCCTTGATGCATCCTCTGAATTCTTGTTTCTCTTTATTTCAAGTAGAGTGAGAAATTGAAGGCACTTAAAAACAACCATCTTGAGAAAATCTCTAAAGGTTTACATGCCCTCTCAATCTTTTACTATGGTTTGTTTCTTCCCAGTTATAGAGCCATTATAATTAAAAATTCACTTTGTCAAGTCCTTCCTCCCAGTTAGAGAGCCATTATAATTAAAAATTCGCTTTAAGTCCTTCCAAAGCATTCAATTTAGTTTTCATAGAAACAATCTCTTTTTTGTCCTACTGCCTCTTGATCTCAGCTACTTGATCATTTTCATCATCACAGCTTTCCTAGCACAGAGCACACCACATAAACAACAGGTGTTCAAAAAACATTGGCTGAATAAATACATGAGCTGTCATCCATAGGACTTTAATTTAACATATCTTTACTATATTAACTGCTTTCTAGGGTTCTCGAAAGAAAAGACATAGTTTTAGGAAGTATTGTAAAAAGAACTCACTGTGGCCTAAAGGACATGCACACTCATCTGAACTTACTTCCCTGTTCCCCTGAGGGACTGAACACCCCACATGCTCTGTGAAATTTCCCCCGATGAAAATTACCCAGGGATGAATCCACCACCTTTGGCTCACAGCACAATTATTACATTTAAATAGTGAAGAAAGTATCAGAATCCTGCAAACCTCTCAATCCACCATAGTTCTTCTATCAGTTCAGGGCGTTTCTGCAGAAATAACAGTGCTTTTTATGTGAGAATCAACTTCTCACTGAAAGCAAAACCCATAGGCTGACAGAGTGGTGGAATCTGCACATTGTCCGTAGTGCTGTCAGACAGGAACACTGTGATCGGTCCTCATCTCTTCCTTCCCTCTAGAGTCTTAAGGAAGCATTTCTGCTGTCTCAGGAGTTGTGAAGTACTGCTTAGTTGCCTTGCATTTTCCCTACGTATTCGGAAACGATTATAGGTGCTAACAAGTATCAGTGGGATGATGTGATGTCCCGTGGAAGCAACAGGAATATGAAACA